CACCGAACCAGGGTTTTGGAGAACAGCCTATATATAGACTGTTCCCACGCCAGCCTCAGCAGGCTGCTGCACGCCAGCCCCTGGCACACTTCGGCATTGGCAAGAGCTGCCTCCTCGGCCTGCTCGCCCTCCTGCGGTCAGGAGGCAGGCCGAGGAAGTACTTAGGGACTTCCCAGGCACTTCACGGGTAGGCAGTCGGTCAGTTGTTGTCTTCAGGATTCGGGAGCAGCACTCTGGAGGGAGCGGTGTAGTAGTAGTGGTAGCGTTAGCTTGTAGTCTGCAGCGCTGGGCGCAGTAGGTAGCTGTAGTCCCCAGCGCTGGGCGCCATAGCTAGATAGTGGTAGAGAGAGATTGGGCGGAGGCCAGGAGTACTTACCTGCAGCGCCGTTGCTCCAGCTTCGTCTTCGAGGTACCTGCARCACAGCGCCAACATCACAGGTTAGTACCTGGTTCGTAACAGTGAGAGAGAGAGAGAGTTCTCTTCTTCCTCTTCTCAGTCCACCATCTCCTTCTTCCCCTCTCAACACCTGACTTCCCTGCAGTTGCAGACTACGAGAGAAGAGATACCGAGCTTGGTGACATTGGATCCAGACTCGACTTTTGGGGGTTCAGACATGGTAACGAGGGACTATTTGGGATTGGTGACCAAGATTTGGTGTTAACRACATTCCCATCTCTCTCCCTCCTTCGTCTGATCCTTTCCTSTTCGTCTGTGTATGTCTGGACCTGGCGCTTTCTTCTTGTGTGCAGCGCCAGGCTCCTTCACACTGAGTGATGGRTACRATGCATGTGTAGTCTGAGTTCAAACATTGGTTGGGCTAGATGATAGTATTCTAGCCCTCTGCTTCGCTACTTGATACTTACGTGAATGAGGTCARTCCCAGTCAGGTCAGTCTTTGTATCAAAGTYTTCCCTGCGCTCTTCAGCATCTTTATGTATGAATGAGAATGTACATTGCTTGTCGAGATTCTACTCGTACCGCATTGTCTATTCAGTCCTTTTCATCACATTGCAGATTCTCGGTTTATTGCATACATTGCATATCTGTGCATGTAACACGATGGAGGGGTAGAGTTTGGGGGTGGAGGAGAACGATGACATTGGACGGGTGAAGGGGAATGAACACGACGGAGAGAAGAACGATGACGATGGGGGGGGGTGAGGGGGAATGAAAATGACGGGGTTTGGGGGTGGAGGAGAACGATGACGATGGGGTGACGGAGGAAAAACGAGGGTGGGGGGAGAGAACAACGAAGATGAGCACGATGACAAGCGAGGGAGGAGGAGAACTATGACGAAGTAGGGAGGAAGAGGAGGATAACGATGACGAGGGAGGAGGGGACCGATGACAAAGTAGGAAGGTAGGAGGGTAATCGGACCTCATCGCGATGAGAAGCCAATCAAGAATGTAATACAAGTCTGATCCCTGCCCGCATCATGAAGTCTTCAGAGTCCAGAGCCGATCACAAGTCCATCTCCAGATTATATACACGGGCAGAAGCATCGTCCCATGAAGAAGAGCATGAGGAGAGATGGACGGTGATAGGACTTCGAAAATACGATGGGGTGGGTGCGCGGGATTCCAAGAAAAAAAATGGGCGGAGATGATGGAGGAGGGATGGAGGAGGGATGGAGGAGGAGAGGAGAGACGAGGGAGGAGGGAGGGGGGAGGAGGGAGGAGGGAAGATGCAGGTGGGGACCGATGACAGAGGGAAGATGGAGGAGGAGGAGACCGATGACGGAGCGAGGAGGGAGGACGGAAGATGGAAGAGGAGACGGACGAGGGAAGAGGGAGGAGGGAAGACGACAACGACGCTGCCTCTTTCGGCTCCTTCCGGCTGCCTCCTTTGAACTGCCGTCTGCAGCTTTGCTGGCTATGGCTGAACGACAATGCCCGGGGCTGCTTCGTGCTGCACAGGATCTGGAAAGATGAGGACTGTAGCAGCCAAGGGCAACACACAGCGGCCGCGAAGGAGGAGGTATTCGTGGGGCACCAAGGTGGACTACCAGCCAGCGTGGGGTAGTTTTGAGCAGTTCAAAATTGAACTGCTCAGATCTCCCCGGTAATTTTTTTTGGGGCTCGCGTGCACCCTCAGAAAAAAAAATGTCGCTGCTGGTAGCTGTTCACGTTAAGTGGTAGTCGGGCCCACAACCTCCCCCCCAACTTTTTTTTTTTTGACGACCTTTTGTTTTCAGGGTGCGCCGCAAGCGGTGCGCACACATCGTGCACTATGCGCAGTGCGACGCATCTGTGCGGTGCAGCGCATCTCGATGCAACGCATGTATGGTAATCTCTGACCTTAGTACGTCCTGACGTCAATCTTAAAATTTAAATGATTCTGCGGTGAGGGATAGCCTAGTAGACGCTCTGCCGTGTTGAATTCGTAATCTAAGCTACTAATCTCTGACCTTAGTAGACTCGTTGCAGTGTGTAGACACTTAAGAATAAAAGTGGGTGGGCAAGGGATAGCTTGAGGGTGCTTTTGAGGATAGGATGAGGGTTCCGAGCGGCGCGAGGGGGGTGGAGGCACCGGAGGGGGAAAAAGGGAAAAAGCTCGTATGACAATTGCTCTTACATACGGGCTATACTGGTAACGCCTTTTGTGATTCTGCCAATTGTTGTTCTTGTTGTGACTGTCTCCCTACGCTCTCCCTCGTGCTTGTCACCAATCTCTCTCTCTCTCTCTCTCTCTCTCTCTCTCTCTCTCTCTCTCTCTCTCTCTCTCTCTCTCTCTCTCTCTCTCTCTCTCTCTCTCT